TACTAATGTTAATGCTACGAGAGTAGCGTTGACAGAAACACATCGTAGCTACGAGCAAACTCACGATAACAGGAACTTCCTAATTTCATGTCACAAGGCTGCTGATTGGATGAGAATCAATAACAAAATTTAAATTCATACACATTTATTGTACAGCACAGTAATTTATGCATATTATGATGGCTATAACCACATATAAATAATATTTGATGAAAAATGACGTGGTCATGAATTTATTCTGCACAACAAGACAAATTCTCACACTAACATGAGACGTGAGAGTCGTGCCAAGCATGGCAAACATTTAAAACGAGAGAACAAATGCCATACGCCATTTGTAAATGTATTGTTTTGTTTTATTAGCGGTAGATAATTTATGATTTTGACCTGTTTTTCAAGAAAAACACATTTTATTCATTATTATAAAATATAATATCACGATAATTGTAATTCGTAGTGTAAATGTGTTATTTTCAACTTAATATTAAAGTTACGAGAGGGGCGCAAATATCCTCATAACATTACGAGAGCTCAGAGGGGGCCGTTGTCAGAAACAAAATTAGTCGCAACATTAGTCTTACCATTAACTTCCACTCGTAAACCGTTGACAGAAACATCGTAAGGTTACGAGAACGAAAAATCCTATGTTTTTATCATTATCTAGACACTGTTTTATAATAAAATGCTATATATAAGATCTATAATCTATTATCTGAATAAAATGTGTCGACCAAACGCCCAATTTAATGTGATAGATATAAGTATATACCCGCTTGTCACGGGTGCCCATATTGAGCAGCTAGATTAGCCCCTGGCATGTATTCATCCTAAACAAAAATTAATGTGGTTAATTAGTAGTTAGGTGGAAATAGGATTATACTTCAAGGTGCACTGCATAAGTTGTCTATGACATGCACGCACAGTTTGCGCACGCACACACACACATACTACAATAGCCGCGTTCACACGTGGCAAGAAATTCGGTATTTAGTGTTCCCATGAGGCAAAATGCGTGGTTCAAGAAATACGGTATCTAAACAGATCCGGTATTTGTTGAAATACGCGGCTTCCCAGACCACGAATAATTTGCCGTGCTTGAGAAATACCGGATCTCTTGGACCGCGCATTTCCTCGTGTGAACGCTAAATACCGTATTTCTGAAGCCGCGTATTTTATAGACTGGTCTGCGCTCGACAGTTCCAGTGTAACGCGAGTGGAACTGTTGAGCGCGGACCAGTCTACGTATTTTATCGGCAGTTGGTGCGCATTGCATTGTTTATTTACTAAAGCAGCTCGCAGCTCGCAAATACGGCATTTCTGGAGGCGCGAATTAGCGTGTGAACACTCGGCCGCGTATTTGTCTCAGATTCGGTATTTCGTAAATACCGTATTTCATAAATACGAGGTCTCGTGTGAACGAGGCTATTGTACGACCATCACATCTGTAGCTTCAATTTTACCTCATTGTTACAATTTTTCTTTGTTACAATTTTATACATTGTTACAATTTTTTATTTCAATTTTACCTCATTGTTTTAGGGTTACCTTTGTTGTATCTTTTTTCAACAGCATTCTTTCTCATCCTTATCTCTGTTGGTTCGATGTCATTTATTCTCTATCTACCTGTAATTTCTGTTTCATGTCTGTGTTGACTGCGTTTCAGTGTAATTGCCACGGTTGCTTTCCGTTTGCAGCGTCCACATAAAGCCACACAGGAAGAAATGACAAAATATCACAGCGACGACTACATTCGCTTTTTGCGCAGCATTCGGCCGGATAATATGTCGGAATACAACAAACAGATGCAGAGATGTATGACTGTAGTGCTACTGTGCTAGCTTAAGTGCATATTAAAGAAGTCGGTACTAGGTGGTAAATTTAGAGATTATTTTTTTATTCATTTGTTCACAAACTGAATTAGCTAGATGTAGGTGTGGATTTGTAAGACGCATTTTCTATCAGTTAGTTGATTTGCACAACATTGGTACTAGGTGATAATAGAATGAGATCGTTCATAAATATTCCAAATTACTTATTGTTGTTATTCTTTGATTATTACTTCGATATGTTACTTTGATAGTTAAATAATGCACGCTAAATTTGATTAGCTTATGGTTCAGCAAAATTTTAACACTAAATAGATTCATAGTACCTGTAATTTTTTAATGGTATTTATTTCTATGTTTAGTCAATGTTGGAGAGGATTGTCCGGTGTTTGATGGCATGTACGAATTCTGTCAGCTGTCAACAGGAGGCTCTGTGGGTAAGATACCTAACCATACAAATGTTTTGAATAAAAAATAAAGGTGTTAATGATTGAATAATTTCTTCGGATCTCTATAGTTCACATAAAAATAAAGTTTATCTCAGTTAGATCGATAATAAGTTATAATTACTTGGTATTAGTTATAATTACTTGGTATTAGTAAGTAATTATAACGTATTATGGATCTAACTGAGATAAACTTTATTTTTATATAGACCTGTGTTAAATTTTTACATAACGAGTTTTTGTGTAAAGCAGTTGTAATTTTAGTAGATGAATAGTCGAAGGCTACCCCTAAATAGGAACTTAGTGGTATGACTTGCACTTGTGTTGTAGCTGGTGCAGTGAAATTGAACAAGCAGGCCACAGACATTGCGGTGAACTGGACTGGAGGTCTTCATCATGCAAAGAAGTCTGAGGCATCGGGATTCTGCTATGTGAACGACATTGTTCTTGCCATCTTGGAACTACTGAAGTAAATATACACTAACTACCATTCGGTCACACATTATTTTTCAACATATATACTGTTTACAATGTGAATCTAGAATGGTTCATTCTTATTTGTAATCTATCGGATAAATGGACTTGTTTTATTTATTGAGGAAATAACCTTTTCTTGGCGTTATCATTTGCTTACTACCTTTATAAGCTGCCCTGTCTGGTATCGAGTTATAGTTGTACGATAGTTTAATATAATTAACATTAATATAATTAATGTAATAATTAATCATTAATTTAATAAACATTAAACACTTTCAGATATCATCAGAGGGTACTGTACATAGACATCGATATTCATCATGGGGATGGAGTTGAGGAGGCTTTCTATACAACTGATAGAGTAATGACAGTCTCATTCCACAAGTATGGAGAGTACTTTCCTGGCACCGGCGACCTTAGGGTAAGGTGGCTATATACACAGGACATGAAACACGGGTTGAATCGGTGGCCGCCGTCAAAATAGCACTAATTTCGCGCACTGTATACATATACAATCACACACAGTCTCACGGCTGTGCTTTGTGACCTGATTGAGTTTGTAATGAGAATCTTTAATTGAGTTATTAAAAATTAAAATGTTAAACTAATTGGCTTCAGGTGCTACTCAATCTATGAGCATATGTCGTATACATTTGTATGTGCATGGATCGAAAAAGGGATTAAATAAATTTGGCCCTGGCAAGACCTGTATGAGTGATGAGATTAACTACGTGTTTCTCGTGATAGTAAGTTTCAAATGCAAGACTCTTGCTAGCTTATAGCAACTTGTCACTATGTCAACAGTGATCAATGTAATTTGCCGAAGTTCGTTGCCTTTATCAATGCTTATTGTATTTTTCCATAATTGCAGGATATTGGTGCTGGAAAAGGCAAGTACTATGCCGTCAACTTCCCACTGCGTGACGGTATCGATGACGAGTCGTACGAAACTATCTTTCAACCTGTAAGTGTGCTGGGGATATGGAATGCTTTATATCAGCACATGACTCATTAACTCGGATGTCAAATATCTTATGTCCACGTTCCTTTTGAGAGGAACTCCACTGAATATCACGATTCCTCGTTACCTCGGTATCGCTTTCTTCCTTTTTATCATTAGCCTTGTAGTGTATAGTAAGTAACCTGATGTTCTACTTCGAGTCCGGATCTGGGATTTAGATCTGGAACTGGATCTGGTAACCTGATGGTAGCGATATGTGCGTGACGTGTAACGATCTTTCTTTCAGGTCATCTCGAAGGTCATGGAGATGTATCAGCCTAGCGCTATAGTGCTACAGTGTGGGGCGGACTCGCTCTCCGGGGACAGGCTCGGCTGCTTCAATCTCACTCTGAAGGGTAAGCACATTATTACAGTGATTGCTATACTGGGTTCTTCCCAGGCCTTTAGCGCGTGTTGAGGCTGACATGGCTTCAGAGCTGGAGCTAATTTGTGACATTGCGTTAACTCTCAGACATGTCTTAGTTGCATAATCGACATGCATAAATTTCCCCATTTGTTTACTTTTTGACAATCCCAACGCAGTCGTGTTTTTTTCACAACAACGGTGTGTTTTCACAGTTGAATGTGTACATCTCTGAATTGATCGAGTTTACCGGTGTATTGGTACTGCTCATGACATGTGTAATTGATTCCAATTAGCAATCGGGGATGAGTTGCCTGATAGCCTAATATGCCTTCTGAATTCCCTAAGGAGAACCCTGCTATAGTTAATAGCAATTTGTGAATTGAAACTCGTCGATATTGTAGGAAATTTTTTAATTGTTTAAAAAGTGGTTAAAGGGCACATAGCTGCTATCATCAACAGAGCATAGAGACCTATGTCATGACCTCATACCTCCCTGTCTACATGTCACATTTTCGCTGTGTTGTTTAAGATCGCAATCCTGATTTATGATACTGTGATGGTGTCGGGCGATGCGCGAAATATTCCCAGACGCCAGTGAGCATGCGAATTAGAAAAAAACATACGGGACGACGATTTGCAACATCCGCTCTTGGCGACGTTTCCAACAAGAGCTCTTCTCTCTCTCTCTCTCTCTGTTCTGAGCGCAGAGATCTAATTTGTCGATTCTTTTTTTGCGTGCAGGACACGCCAAGTGCGTGGACTTCATGCGTAAAGGGGGCTTATGTCGGGCTTGCGAGCCGACTCGACTGGAAGCAACTGGCTGCAATTCACTTCGACTGCAGTGCTTAGGTCGGTCGACTGCGACGCGACTGCCTGCGACTGGCCGCCACTAGTTGCTCGGAATAGAACAGTGGGCAACTGGATGCAACTAGTCGCTGCCGATCGCTTCCAGGTGCTCGAAATCCAGTTGCTTCCAGTCGAGTCGGCTCGCAAGCCCGACATAAGCCCCCCTTAAGTTCAGCCTGTGTTCTGAGCGCAGAGATCTAATTTGTCGATTCTTTTTTTGCGTGCAGGACACGCCAAGTGCGTGGACTTCATGCGTAAGTTCAACCTGTGTTCTGAGCGCAGAGAGTTGCTTCCAGTCGAGTCGGCTCGCAAGCCTGACATAAGCCCCCCCCCCCTTAAGTTCAGCCTGTGTTCTGAGCGCAGAGATCTAATTTGTCGATTCTTTTGTTGCGTGCAGGACACGCCAAGTGCGTGGACTTCATGCGTAAGTTCAGCCTGTGTTCTGAGCGCAGAGATCTAATTTGTCCGATTCTTTTTTTGCGTGCAGGACACGCCAAGTGCGTGGACTTCATGCGTAAGTTCAGCCTGCCGATGCTCGTGCTCGGCGGAGGCGGATACACGATTCGCAACGTCGCGCGATGCTGGACATACGAGACGGCCGTCGCGCTCGGAGTAGAGATTGCAAACGGTGAGCGGCAGCGGCCGAGATTACGGCGGCTCGTGGGGTTAAGTTACGGAAGACATGTGGAGCTTTGTGTATACATTTGTGTATAGTCTTGATTTTTATCTGGATAAAGTGACATCGCAAACGGTGAGTGGCAGCCTAACTTATTGCTGCCAGCACATGAAGCTTTTATATATATATATATATATATACAGTCCGACCTCCTTTATCCGGTCATCCATTGTCCGGAAATCTTTATTAACCGGCCGCGATCTCGCAGTGTATGTTCTCTGTTTTTCATTAATTTCCACCTAAAAATCTCGCTCAAAGCTCGCTCAAAACTCGTGTACCAACCGTACGTGTGCTGCGTGTGTGCGCGCGTGCACGTGTGTGTGTGTGTTGTCCGCTCGTGTCCGCTATGCCTCCGGTAAAATTTCTGTTTTATTTCATTTTATTTCTATTTCATATAAACCATAAAACACGACAGTTTGTTACAAATAATCATAGCAACGAGTAAATACATTATCAGATGCATATACCCTACTGAACTGCATAGAAATGCTGTGTTTGAGCATAACTCTCATATCCGGCCAAATCCCATATAACTGGCACAAAACTCGCGTATATAATATGCGCGTTACGTATTGCTTCACATATCGCCTTTGTTAAAGACGATGCGATGTGATCAATAGAGATATGTTACTGCTGCGACTTCAGATTTCGCACGCTTCATTCTATTCACAAGCAATTCGCTACCTTCTATACGTTCGTACTATTCAGTAGGAACATTGGGCGTGCTTTGTGCTTACGTATTAAGCACGCGGTGAATTGTTAAAGATATAAATGGATGAATCTTTCGGCAGTCGGTCCGTCGGTCGATTTGCTCGTCTGCCAAGTTAGCTTAGTTTGTGCTTTGGGAAGAGTGGATTTCCATGTTTTTTTCCACTTATCTTTGTCTTTCTTCACTTACGAAGTTACGATATCAAAATAAAAATGTACTGATAATAATAACAATGATGATAATAATAATAATAATAATAATAATAATAATAATAATAACAATAACATATTCTTACCCGATCACCCTTTTTTGTCGTGTTACCCAGAGGTCCAGGCGGTCCGGGTGGCCCCTAGCAACAGGCAATTACCTCATTTTATACTCTAGTATATCTCACATACACGTTTGCATAGTATCAAGAGCTAATAACACCGATTATTATATAGGTATTATTAGCTCTTAATAGTATATAGATATTACCAAGAGCAGATAAAGAAGGCTTCTTTATACGCTCTTGATATTACTATAGTGTCACAAGTACACATGAATCAACGTAATACGCCATATAATGCATCGTTTCATATTTCTGCCGATAAGTGGCGCTGGTCGTTCACCACCAAGCGCAGGTAAGCTTGTGGTAAGAGGTCTGATGCCGAAATGCCACCTTTAGGCATCAAAGACACACAATCGGACCATTTGAATCACCACTTGAACAACGTCAATGAAATTCTTAATTAAAACCGGATGCTTATTATACGTATTGCCGGATATCATTTGTTTACCAATAAAGGCTCTCACACACTCACCGGATTTCCTGGAATCCCCGGTGTCCCAGGAAGTCCGGGATTGCCCGGCATTCCCTGTTAGGAAAAGCTATATGTTAACATCATACACGAGGAGGGAACTGAATGGGAGGCGGGTGAATGTTACGTGGTCAGAGAAACCACGCGGGGTGTGTGTAAGCCATTGCTCATTCGTTCATATATCATTCATATATTTATGTTTCGGACAGCGAGGATGAGGGAGATGGCGGCAGACGCGACGTGCGATCGCACAAGCCTCAGAAGCGGCGGCGCGAGGAGAGCGACAAGGAGAAAGGTACATGTGGCGCCACCGCGCGAAGCTTACCGGGCGACGCGAGGCGTCGGATGTTTTCCACGTCCCCAGTAAAGTGCGGAATCTCAGTCTGAAACATTCTTATGAAGATTTTTATTATATGATTATTGTGATGATTATTACTGTATTAGTCTGCAGATTGTGAATCGATTAGTGTACTTATCAATTAATTACTATTATTATACTGTAATACTGTTATATGTATACTATTATAATGGTAAACATTTTCCATTTCAATGGCATCCTGGCGTTGTTTGGATAGCCTAGTTGACTTAACTAGAACCAGGTGATTATGAGGTGCAGATAATCTGTGTAGATGCAGGAAGAACGCGTGAAACAATTCAAATCACGACACGGTGAAATTATGGGCACAAGTTTGTTACGTATTGTAACCATGTCACGTTATCAACATTCCACATCTACAGAAGAAGACCAAAAGACGAAGGAAGTAAAGATGGAGGTTACCGAAACAAAGGATAGTAGCCCTAAAGAACCAGCAGCACCTGAGGCGGAGAAAAAAGGTTCGTAAGCACCGAGATGAGTTGTGTTTTTGCCTGTGTTGGCAATGTTCATATCAGGCAGCCCAATTTGAAGAGATTGCCATTGGTTGTCAATTAATTGCCATAATTTCATTAGTGACAGTTACGTCTGTTGGTGGATTTGATTGTAGGCTGTCATAGTCAAGCTCTCTCACCTCTGATCGTTTTTGAATAGTCTTATCTAAATTGAATCCCGTAATATATTTGCTCATATATGCACCGAGCCTGAGAATTTTTGCTGTTTTTTTTCGATTATGGTGAATCAGAATAGCCACACGTTTACATTGTTCTATTGTGTCGTGTATGCTTTTTATAGATCCAGCCCCACCAGTTGAAGAGCCTCCTCCCGTGGTAGCAGCACCTGCAGCAGTAGCGCCATCTGTAGCTGAGGAGAGCAAGGAATCAACAGACCAAGGTCCACCAAAGGCAGTCGAACCAGTGCCAACTTAGTTTATAAAGGTAGCCTAGTTCTGTAGTTAGACTGCGTGCCTCGGGATGTCAGCGTGAGAGAATCCTGTATTTACACATCTATTTGTATTTACGTGTAATTTCTGTGCACCAAAACGTTTGGTTTGAAGCTGCACCGCATTCTCTCTTATTTATTTTGATAGGATATGTAATGCATACACTTATCGGTTGGTGCTTGATGCTTGCATCTGGCTTTCCACAAAACTGTGGAATGTCAGTAGTTTGATGTACGAAGAGACAATGAGCATGTGTTGCCTGAACAAGACATGTTGTTGACGTTTGTGACCAAAAGCAATGCTTGAATGTTACTGGCCTTCTGTGTAACAGTGACAGATACTATTCTGATGGCATATTTATGGTTTGTAAGCAACTGTGACGCCCTAGCACTGTCGTATGTGTGCACATTTAAAACTTATAGTTATATTAGGTAGTTAAGTAATCCCTTGTGAGAGTGGAAAAAATTTTTTTGTTGGCCCGTGACCAGCACAGCAAATGTGTTTAAAGAAACCACGAGTGTACATAATACCGTGAACACATATACGTACTGTATGTGTATGTTCATGATAATACTAATACATTTAGGTAACCCTTTCCGCCTCTGGTGTGAAACGTGAATCGATACTTGCTAGGAATACTGAGATACTGGGATGAGCACTGTAAATTGTCTACTGGTGTGAAATGAGATATCTTCGTTTAATATATTAGTCAAATTTATGCTGTTGCTAATTAAAAGAAGCTACTGCAACGCTGTCACGTGTAGCATGGTGTTATGTGTGTGGTTTTCATAACGTGTGAATATTTTTTTTGTTATCTAAAACAAAACTACGTACTAAAATGGCAAGGTGGAGAGTGAAATGGCAATTCATCTTAATAACGCTAGGTGAATGTATCTGCTGCTATCTGATGGTCGTATTTTAAATGAGTCGTCTAAAAAGAGTTTATTACATGTGTATATTTTAAAGCGACTGAAAAGTTCAGCATGTTTGTACGCTATGCAAGTAAACTGTATACAGTGTAGTTATTAGGTGCTGCGTTTCGTGAAGTTGATGGTTTTTTGACTATCAGTTTCATTTGGGAAAGTGGTTCTAATAACATAGCTTTTTGATGTCTATGTCTGCAGTTTAACAACAATACCATCATAGCATATGGACAGCAGTGTATAGCACGTATCGAAATTTTGTGTAATTATAAATTTCAGCAGTATTGACAGCGTTGATGCAAATTCATCTCAAATGTAATAATTTATCCACAAAATGTGTATTGACAGCAAGGGAAGTGACTGTTTTGCAGCTCCTCGGGAAACGTTTAGCTCTAAGTTTCGTATTGTGTTGCTGGTCTTTCCTGTGCGCAGAGGAAACGTACAAAAACCATGTGTACTAAATCTCGTGTATTTTACTAAGAAACATAAATAAACTTGTACAAAACAACGCGCTTGGTGTTATTCACGGCACTACTAATGATTTAGGCAGAGACGCTTTATTCGTTTATGAGCAAATCATTGCAACATGGCCAGCAACTAGCACCAACCAATATGCAGCCATTGTTGCTCGTATAGGCATGGCATACGGAAACATGTTTAACACGTAGTACTTCTCAAGAACTAGTTAAAAACAGGCATGACATATCCTATATTAAACATGTATTGCTGAGTGACACATATTATATTAATGAATTGTTCTGCCTACAAACTTCGTATGCTCAGATGTCTTGAAGTCGGGAGAATAACGTGTCTGACAATACAATGAAATCGGCGGTTCTGAACTATATTCACTACAGACAGTTTAGTACAATTAGCGTTACCTGTGCGTGGTAATAATACGCGGATAAAAAACAACCCATAACGCGAGCCTCATAGTCGTAAACCAGGCCGCGTTAACACACCGAGTGGTCGTTACAGTATATAACAATAGCGATTAAGAAATCAATAAAATGTGAATTGCTATCTCAGGAAAGCTATCGTTGTAGCATGATGCTATAGCAGTTCTCAGTGCCCCACCAGATGCAAGTGAATATGATAAGTGTCGACTTGAAAGTACTTAGACCGACATGGCGTTTACGAGCTCATGTTCTGTAGAAAAATGACACGTATCGACGTTATTTCTACAGAGTAAACGGGAGATATGCTAAGTTTATCAACAGAGTATGTCCTGCATATATTCAGGGGTTAATAATGGCAAATAAATTGTCAATAATGACAAATAATAAATTGTCATTATTAACTCTGATATATTTTACGACAATGTAAAAGCGAGCGTGTTGTTATAGTGACTGTAGGCTACTCTTCGTTCAAGAACACAAGCTACACCGTAAATGCTACTTGACATACACATGTTGTATCCTTTAGTATATTAGTGTTCATTGCCTAATATCGAAACGTAAACATAGTATCTACAGACTTTGATCTGCATTATATGGCTATAAACAGTGAGACTCAACGAGTAGGGGTATTGTACTCGGTACAAAACGTCATGCCTTTCCGCAGCTCGATTCGTGTTTCCTCTTGCACGCGTGAAGCAGGCTAAATGCATGTTAAAGTGCACTTACGTCGTCGCAGTAATACCGGCGTATATACAATCAACGTGGCACGTGATATGTCGCAAATTCAGATCGAGGCGACCCTGGTGGCACGCTACACCTGTCGTCTATATTCCCCCTCCCGCTCTTTCGCATTTTACAACGAACCTATCATATTTTCTCTCGCACGCTTTTCACGCAATTGTTTCTCGTCGTCGTCATAAGAGGGCGCGCGTGTGATCATTTCCGCTTTTTCGAGCTACGTGGTCCTTTCGAGGAAGTCGGGGCGGAAGCCTGCACGTTGTTGCTCGGATAATTGCAGTATTCGCAGTATCCCGGTGGTCCATGGGAACCGGGGGGACCGGTGACTCCAGGCATGCCCGGCCGCCCTGGAGGTCCTCGTTCCCCGTCTCGGCCTGAGATCCCGGTACCCGGGGGACCGGGTGGGCCTGGCGGTCCCCGGATACCCATCGCTCCTTCAAGTCCTATGCCTTCCGGACCGCGGTCTCCCTTGTTGCCGCCGTCACCTGCGGAGGACGAATTAAGAGCAATAGTATTGCGCACGCACGCGTGCGCGAACATACACGCATGTAGGCAAACACGCGCGTGCACACACACATACGCGCAGGCACGCACAAGCACGCACGCACACACACGCACACATACACCACACACGCACGCACGCGTAAGCACGCACGCACACACACACACACACACACACACACACACACACACACACACACACACATACGCGCACACATAAACATACCTTTTAGACCCATCTGGCCAGGCGGACCAGGTGGTCCCATTAGCCCCATGAATCCCCGGTCACCCGCCTGCCCCTGCGGTCCTGGATCGCCTATATCAATAGGGGGATTAATAGATAAACGAAGAATCGCTTGCAAAGATGTCTTACCGCGAGATTTCTTCCGACAAACGGAATTCGGGAATACGGAACTACGAAATTCGGGTGAACACGGAACTGTTTTATGGTTGAACGCTAAATTCCGATATTCGTAGGCCTATATGTGTTGTTCTCGACATTACGTTAATTCGACGTATTTCGACCGTATAATGAATGATACTGACGGGGTATTATCATTGCTATTTATCTGTGCCTAAGCTCTCTTGCGCACTTGTTTTATAGAATCACGCAATCGTATCGTAGATATTATCTATGCAGGCAGTTTCGATATCTATGTAGTTACTCTATCTATGTAGTTACACAATCTATGTGTTACTCTATCTATGTAGTTACTCTATCTATGTGTTACTCTATCTATGTAGTTAGTTTACATATGTAGTTACTCTATCTATGTAGTTAGTTTATCTATGCAGTTATTCTATCTATGTAGTTACTTTAGCTATGTGCCGTAACGATACGTTACCTTGTATGCCCTGAGAGCCTGGCGGGCCTGACCGGCCTGTCTTACCGTGCCCGGGTCGTCCAGGCAGACCTCGCAACTCTTCTCGCTTATTTGAGATCAAATCGTTAATGATTTCCATGCATATCTGTCGTATCTCCGACCTGGTGCGACCCCTCGCCTGCATATAGCATACAGAGAGACGCTGATGTGAACACTCGTTGTACCGGTGCGGTGTCCGTCGGTCGTAGAACGTACACCGATTATTTACAAATTATTTAATTTATTTGTTATTTGTTATTTTTACGTTTTTATTATTTATTTTTTAATTTTTTTTACTTATCGTAATATAAGTTTTAAATGTAATGCTGCACTGCACTTGCACTTGCGCGTTTTTTGTAATCTATAAGCGTGTGGCGAGTAAAATAATATGATGGCTGTAAATGTATTATTTGATCATGACGAAAACGACCATCGTTTTCGTCTGCTATTATAAAATAAAAATGTACTTACAGATTCACCGGGTGTACCCGGAAATCCGGATGGTCCACGCTGACCTTCCGATCCGGCTTGACCCGGATTGCCTGGTATTCCGGGTATACCAATGGTTCCAGGCTGTCCGACTCTTCCCCTCTCTCCTTGCCCGCCTCTGGCTCCAGGCTGTCAGGAACGATTTAATAGCCCATACCTCCATTAAACTCAATAATGCTGTCAAGAACTTACTGCCACGTCATTACGTATGGACAGTAGTCTACATTACGACGTGACGCGCTTCACCAGCGTTCACTGAGACACAAATGTTTTTTTTTTAAATCACATTACGTGAGCTTTTCCTTCAGGAGCTGCTATTATTCAGGCGATATGCTATTACCTTACACGTCGTTGTTGTAAGATTCATCACACGAACCGTTACTATACTGTATAATATTACTGCACGTTAGCTGCTATGTAACATATTATATTTATGTCGATTTTGTAACTGTTGCAGTTGGATGTTGACAAGAGTACATAATGGGAGAGTATTACTCACCCATTATATACTCTTAATGTTGGTTCGCAGATATAGGTCTAATATTATACACTACTCGTTTATAGGGTTAATCACACGTACCATGCCCGGTGGTCCCGTTGGACCTCTACTGCCCTGAAAGCATGAGCAATTTACATATGTAACATTCGTCACGTGTAAACATTCGTTACGTAGTTTTAAAGAAGACCGCAATGGTTCTGGCCAACTGTTTTGGGCCCGCGTAAATCAGGCGAGATATTATAATAGTCTATAGACGATTATCTTTCCGCGGGTGAGCGAATATTAATTCTCTTGAAATCTGTCTGAAGATTGTGCAGTTAGTTATTGTTTAGTTGGCAATTACTTACCATTGGTCCTTGGGCACCATAGGCGAGTCCAGAATCTCCTCCTATGATAATGGCGGATTCACCCTATTATATATGAGAGAGTTTAGAGGACCTATGAATCAGAGAGCTCAAATGACTTCTCAAGCTTTTCTACAGGAAGTAGTTTTGAGTGATATAGGTTTGGTGTTTGTCTACATATCTTCTCTATTTTCATGGCATAGACTTGGATACGAATTAGTAGGATCTCACCAAATAAAACCAATAAAAATCCATTTGTTTTTATCCACTCCTGATCGCATTAAGAGCTAATAACACCTTCATTATTATTATTATTATTATTATTATTATTATTATTATTATTATTCTCTAATGTATCATTAGCTCCTGATCTTATGTAAATAGCTTCGTAACATAGAATTACCTTTTCGCCTTTTTGTCCCGCCGCTCCACTCTCTCCCTATATGACAACATAAGCGTATATATGTAACAAATGCTCATATTTCAGTTATAAGAGATGCATGTATTAAGAGGCAATTTCATCGATAATTTACTGGGCACAGATCGCACATTTACAACCTTAATTATACGTGATAGATAACTCGAATAAGTGAATTATCACGTTTATTTGCATTCATAGTCTGCGCGTATATGCGGTCGTTCGATCTTCTACGCGTTATAATCGCTCGATCTCGGTTAAATAACTTGTTTCATACAAGCGTATATGTCGGCTGCGTCTATGCATGCAGTAATATATATAAGGGTCGGTGTGTTACAGTAGAGTGACGATAACGGGATTCGTACCAACGGCCCGAGTAATCCTTGTCGACCAGGAAGCCCTGGGATGCCGGCGGGACCTTGAGCTCCGGCTGGACCCTGCAAACATAAAAACACAAGTAATGGTAACGAAAATAGTCGATGTGCGTGCGTTTGTACACACGCACGCACACACACACTTACGCACGCACGCACGCACGCACGCACATTCACACGCACACGCCAACGTACGCACGCACGCAAGCACGCACGCGCGAATGTATCCACACTGGTTCACACGCACGAACGCACGTGGACACATATATTGATGTTGTTACTACCTGCTTTACATTATACAACAGAGTTAAATAATTTCAAAGAAATTTCAAATTTCAAAGAAATTGAGAGTATTTAACACTGTGACACATATTATATTTCATGTAGTTTCCTAGATTACACAAATTGCCATCGTGTTGTTTTGCCGCGCACTATCCCGTATAAAAAAATCTATAGATGATACTGATTCGCTGCAGCGCGATGCTTACCAATGGGCCTTTAGGACCTCTGTCTCCCTGCACTCCAGCGCTGCCTGGCATCCCCGAACTTCCCTACAAAATAGCCATTCATGTTTACCCTGTTATAATAGTTGCTACACGTGTCCACGGCCGACAACACTAGAGCATCACTGCAGACAAACCATTCTTCAATCTCACCACAAAGATGGATACGGCATTGCTCCCTCGTTTGTTATGACGGCGCAATTTAATTAAAATCAAATAAAAAAAAGCCAGTGGTCACGTGATCTCTGTGGTGAGAATGACCATTCTCGCATCTCCCGTTTACGTCACATCGCGGTTAGATGTCGCTATAGTCGCCACGCATGTTCGCATGTCAGCTGACAACACTAACCGATGCTTAGCATGCAGATGAAGCCAATCGCTGCGACACGCCAGGCTGGTTCGACGTGCGTGCGATTTTTTGCTATACATTTTTTAGATATCGATGACGAAGATATAAGAGTTATTTTGCGGATTGCCAATCGATCTAGTTTACGCGTAACAAAGCATAGGCCTACACAAGTACGCACGCACACGCACGGACACACACACACACACACACACACACACACACACACACACGTCACACACACACACACACACACACACACACACACACACACACACACACACACACACACACACACACACACGTACATACAAACACACACACGTACACACACACACGTACACACACACACACACACACACACACACACACACACACACACACACACACACACACACACACACACACACCACACACACACACACTATGTGTAGTGTGTAGTGTGTAAGTGTACCTACTGATAGATTTAACTACTATTAAATTACGTATTCTGTATGGATTACACGAATCGCGGTAAGGTGGTACATATGGTGGTAGGACTAATACGAGGTTGCGAACCTTCTGTCCAGCCAATCCGGAAATTCCTTTGTAAGCCCGCGGATCCCTGCGGACGGATGGGCCATTCCACCTCGCTTACCAGCTTCTCCTGACTCGCCTTCTCCCCCTAAATACAAACACGAGCAAATTACTGCTGCACGAAGTAAAGAAAGACTACGTGTTCTCTTTGCGAAGTACAGTCACTAGATAAAGATATCGTTAAGAGATGTTGAGTATTTAGCCCGAGGTGAAATTTTGCTATGGATATAAAATAAACTGATCCGACAGTTAATCAACGTCTTCAATGTGGATCGTGTAGCTATGCGCATGCGTATTACGGGTCTCCTTGCACACCTCGCTTGCCAGGTACTCCGGAAGGGCCCTGCGTAACATCAATAAAACGTAACCGGTCAAATTATTTTATTTTATGGGATTCTACTGATACATTCCGTTCAAATTACAGCTATTATATAATACCCGTAATTTGAAGGAATGATTTATAATTATATTATTATAATTCTTGTAATATATATATATAATATATATATAATATATATTATAATATATATATGTTCATAGAATATATCCTGAAAACGTAGAATTAATATGCTAATATTCCTCTGGTAAGAAATTAGATTGCGTAAATCGTAAGCGCTTCCTCTAGAAGTAATAAGTGTGTATAGTCTTGTTATATACTTTGTTAATATACTTGTTATACTATATACTATATACTTGTTATACTATATACTATATACTTGTTATATACTTGTTAATAAGTTAATGATAGTTTATGATAAGTTAATAAGTTAGGTTAAATACGTACCCGTGGTCCAGGGTCTCCTATATCTCGGTCATGCCGGGTCTCCCGGCTCTCCCTGTATAGCATGCGAATATATATTTATCAGCAGTTACCATCTTTAGACGGCGAAGTTACGTAGACAGAAGATACAGTGAGCTATGAATTAATATTGTAGAAGCTACAGGTGGGATTCGAAGCTGGCCACGGCTGTAGAGTAATTCATATAATGCAGTACAGGTGTGAAGGAAGCTTAACGGGTAAATTTAATTTAATTCAGGCAGTGGGCATATTGCGTCTGAAGTAATATTATCGAGGTTTGTGTTGTCTATCGATTACCCAAGATATAACTACATATGCACGCAGTCATCGCGCACACACAAACACGCCCCCACCCACACACACACACACACACACACGCACGCACGCACGCACACCCACACACACACAAACACACACGCACGCACGCACACACACACCACACACACACAAACACTCCCCCCCACACACACATACGCACACACACACACACACCACCACACACACACACACACACAAACACGCCCCCCACACACATACGCACACACACACACACACACACACACACACACACACACACACACACACACACACAAACACGCCCCCCCCCCCCCCCACACACATACGCACGCACACACACACACACACCCACCCACCCACACACACACACACAAACACGCCCCCACACAACACATACCCACACACACACAAACACACACGCCACCCCCCCCACACACACACACAACACGCCCCCACACACACAACCACCACGCACGCACCACACACCACACAAACACGCCCCCCCCCACACCACACACACATACCGCGCACACACACACACACACACACACACAACCACACACACACACACACACACACACACACACACTCACACACATTGAAAACTACATCAAATACATAAACTATGAGGTAGGATACCTTTAACAGAGTGAATGTCATCGCACCTGGCGGTCCATCGCGTCCATGGGTCGCCCTATATCAAAACAGAACATCATCGACCGCTTGTAGAGCTGCTGGTATCCAAAGTAATCCAACATAACTATAATATATATAATATATATAAATATATATAACGTATATAATATATATATATATATATATAAATTTATATAACGTTATATAAATATATATAATTTATATATATATATATATATATATATATATTTAGCAGAGAGAGAAGAGGAAGAGAGAGAGAGAGAAAATATAAAATTTAAACAACTGGAGACATAATTAATTTTGCATATGTATATGCACCTGAAGAGCGAAGTGAAAACGTTTGTGCATAATTATGCTTCCAGTTGTTTTAATTTTAATATTTTCATTCAGTGTAATCTAACTTGCATTTGGAAAACGAAACTTTATATATATACATACGTAACCTACCTGCTTATTCATAATGATATTCTTATTAGGTTTGTCTTGATCGAGTGCGAAACATGTTTCAGTTTCAAGCACCCTTGCCAACCTGCAGCTCTCACAACTGGCACAAAACTCGCGTATATAATATGCGCGTTACGATTGCTTCACATATCGCTTTGTTAAAGACGATGCGAGTGCATCACAATGAAGATATGTACGTGCTCGCGACTTTCAGATTTTCGCACGCGTCATTCTATTCAGCAAGCCAATTCGCTACCGTCATTACGTATCGTTACTATTCAGTGGCACTGGGCGGTGTTCTGTGCTTACTATTAACACCATGAATGTTAAGATATAAATGGATGAATCTTTCGGCAGTCGGGTCCGTCGCGTCGATTTGCTCGTCTGCCAAGTTAGCTTAGTTTGTGCTTTGGGAAGAGTGGATTTCATGTTTTTTCACTTATCTTTGTCTTTCTTCACTTACAAGTTACGATATCAAAAATTAAAATGTACTGATAATAATAACAAATGATGTAATAATAATATAATAATATAATAATATATAATTAATTAAGAATTAATAAACAATAACATAGTCTTACCCGATCACCCTTTTTTGTACGTGTTACCAGAGGTCCAGGCGGTCCGGGTGGCCCCTTAGCAACAGGCAATTAACCTCATTTTATACTCTAGTTATCTCACATACACGTTTGCATAGTATCAAAGAGCTAATAACCCACGATTATTATATAGGTTATTATTAGCTCTTAATAGTATATAGATACATTAACAAGAGCCAGATAAAGAAGGGTTCTTTATACGCTCTTGCGATATTACTATAGTGTCACAAGTACACAGATGAATCAACGTAATACGCCATATAATGCATCGTTTCATATTTCTGCCGAAGTAAGTGGCGCTTGGTCGTTCACCACAAGCGCAGGTAAGCTTTTGTCGGTAAGAGGTCTTGATGCCGAAATGCCACCTTTAGGCATCAAAGAACACAATCGGACCATATTGAATCAATCACTTGAACCAACCGTCAATGAAATTCTTAATTAAAACCGGATGCTTATTATACGCTATGCGGATATCATTTGTTACCAATAAAGGCTTCTCCACACTCACCGGATTTCCTGGAATCCACCGGCTGTCCCAGGAAGTCCGGGATTGCCCGGCATTCCGCTTTAGGAAAAGCTAATATGGTGTAACATATACACGAGGAGGGAACGTGAATGGGGAGGGCGTCGTGAATGTTACGTGGTCAGAGAGGAAACCACGCGAGGTGTGTCGTAAGCCCATGCCTCATTCGTTCATATAATCATTCATATAGTATGTAACTGTATCTCTAAATAACCTTGTTAATAACTATATATAATATGATATAATTCCATATTAATACTATATCATTATTAATATATTATATTTAATAGTATAGTTGATATGATATGAAATATAAATATATATTATATATATTTTAAAAACATAGAATTAATTATTAATACATTAACATTATATTAATATTTATTCCGTTAAACCTCTGTAGCCTATGACGATATACTTTATAGTGAAGGTTACCTGTGAGCCTGGTGTGCCTTCGTTGCCAGGGATACCAGGGAAACCTGGCCGACTCTAAAATACAAAACGCGCAACTCGATCGAGAAACGACCGCCCGATGACAGTACGGCGTTGTCTGTCATCATCCGTCACACCGAGTGCGTTATCAATAACTTGTCAGAGAACGATCTATGAACACCTTTCATGCGCTTATCAACTGCACAGAGGCTACAGCTATATGTAGATTCCCACGTTTACCTAGTGACTCGTAAACCTGATCTACTCACGGCCTCTCCTTTCTGTCCTGGCGATCCGGCTAGACCGACCTCTCCAGTTCGACCTTGAATGCCCTCCAATCCTGGCATTCCTGGCAGTCCTCTTTCACCCGGTTCGCCCTTTGCTCCCATGGGAACCAGACTTGCCGGAGACTCCATCGCTGCCTCTGTCACCCTTAAATATGACGCAATCACGCTCGTGATGTATGATCAAGTTAAATCAAACGCCAATAAAGCGGTTGTTTAGAGAGGCGGTGTCTCTTTCAAAAGTTACAATCCGGCATGAGAGCCATCTAGTGGTCGGCCTGCTAACTTGCGTTTTTACGAAGGAACCGACGAAAAAAGTGTCAAAGTGTCCTAACAAAGCATGCTGAGATCGGAGGCACACATAGAGATGATTGTATCAACGTTTGGTTATTGTTTACATGAAGTAGTCCGATGATCCAGAGTATAGCACTTTAATGCAACCGGCAGTTAGATGCGATATGATATGACTACTAGGCACTTTAATTTAATTTAATTTAATTTTTTTTTAGGGTTTGGTAGGGTTTTAGGTTACGGTTTAGGGTTTAGGTTAAGGTTATGAGTTAGGGTTATGGTTATTTTTTTCAAGTGCTAGTAGTCATATCTATGTGGTGCCCTGGTGCATATCATATCGCATCTAACTGCCGGGTGCCACTTTAATGGGTCGTGCACGCGGCACAATGGTGCGGTATATTGCGCGCGAGATTTCGCGAGACGTCGTCGTGCGTGACGTAATAATATGCGCGTGTAAGCCACAAAATAACTATGCGCATGTCTGTCAGTGAAATCTCTGTGGCACGAAGGAGACGTTAGACGCGAAATGCATCGGTTACCTTTCGTCCGTGACGGCCGCTTTCACCCGGTATTCCGGGTTCCCCAGGCGGGCCTGAAAAAACATCGGCACACACACACGTTTGCGTATTACGCTTCCCCTTTGCGCACTGCATAACTCACTAACGAGGAGAGCGAATAGATACGCTAACGTGCAGCATTTCACATGAACTACTCGGGCGTGGATATGTAATAAGTAATATGTCATATAGAGTACATAACACATAATGTGTGATGTATAATGTATAAGATATTATAATATATATAATATATAATATATAGTATATAATATATGATATATAATATATAACATTGGAATAAAATGTGGTTCTTTTAAATGCCATTTAATGCCTGCTATTGGGGATATAAACATTAATTGTAATTGGTTCACATCTCACCACTAGAGGCGCTCCGCTATTCATAGTCCCATGTGGTCCCGGGGGACCAGGGGGGCCAATAGGTCCTGAAGGACCTGGATCTCCAGGGTATCCTGGGTCTCCACGATCACCCTAGAGTACGCAAAGTAAGCTCGTAAGCTTATTAACATCGAACAACAGAGACTGTGTGTGTGTGTGTGATGTGCCGTGGCTGGTGCTGTGTGAGTGTGGCGTGTGCGTGTGCGTGTGCGTGTGCGTGTGGGTGTGCGTGTGCGTGTGCGTGTGTGTGTGCGGTCGCGTGTGCGTGGTGCTGTGTGTGTGTTGTGTGGGAACAATATGTGTGTGCATGTGTGTGTTAGCGAAATATGGCATTTATTGAAAAGTGAGAGTTGAAACCTCTATTAGTGTCGGCCGACTGTATGAATGTACTAACGTTATGTAGCAGCTAGCCGGATAATTCATGAATGATTATGAATGTTTACTCATTTCAAAACAGCGCGGCGCTACATTCCTTCACATACTGACTTTACATACCCCGGCGTTGGAGTAAGCTGTCTTGTGTGTTGATGTGTGCGCGCGCGTGTGTATGCGCGACGTATGTTTTTGTCTTATTCATACTAAAATTGGAATCTCTATCAATGGCAGCTGAGCTTACTCACGCTTAAAAAACAAACATGGCGTAGGCCCTATAGTTAGACTTACCGCGGAACCTGACTGTCCAGGATAACCTTCTGCGCCGCGCTCGCCCTATAAAATATCAATATTGTTTAACATGTCTTTGTCTTTTTAAAGAGTCCTTTTTATATAGTCTAGCAGGGTAATTAAAGATGAGTCTGTAATTGAGCTATGGGAGCTGATATTCGTATAAGTTGCTTTCGTAATTTGGTTATTACCTTTTCTCCGGATAACCCATCTTTTCCTTGTGGACCAGGCAGACCCTGGACAACATAAATATATTACTAGTATCATGCAGATTTGGATAGTAGCAAACAGTAACAACAAGTAACTGTCAGGCTTATGCCAGTACGTTGCTAACGTTGTGCTACTGTTATACGCAGCCCTAAAAGCATTACACGTAGTCGTATAACCGTTATATGATGTCATACAAGTATTGTTCAATCACACTGCACCGCTGAGCATTTATGGAGCCTCATCGTAGTAAATTAAATTCATGCTTGTTAACAATAAAATCAGGAGTGTATAATATAGATATTATCTATATGAGCTATTATCTATAATAATTTATTATACACTCCTGATAAAATGATGCTCGTGTTAAACACAGCATCGGGCTGAGCAACGAACGCGGGCGCAGAAATTCACTTTATGCAAGCCTCAAGTATCCATATGGCAGTGTAATAATGACCAGGATGAAAAACTACAGTAAACTGTTGCGAGCTATTATATTTTAATTTCGCGGCGGCGACTTACCGGAGCTCCGTGTTCTCCCGCGTCTCCTTTCAACCCGGCAGTCTGAAACAGAACGTAGGCAGTAGAGAATCCCGTATAGCTTATATACCGTTATAATAATATAGCTTATATCCGTTATCCCTTATATACGATACATCCTCGCTTGTAGTATTCCCATACTAGCATTGTAGGTAATAGGCTTATTACGCTACACAACTATAACTAATTACTCTTAATACATAATTACTATACACTCGATTAGGAAACTTACTGTCTTCCCGTTTCCGTCACCAGATGGCCCAGGAGCGCCGGTATTGCCCTGCTCTCCCTGTCGTTAGGTCGAAGTAAGAGTATGTTAATTTTAAGCATCATCAAGGATTTATCAATTAAGCTTGCTCCGCTGCAATATCACGGTAGTGTGTTTACCATGACCACATACGCGGGTCTACGCATGCGGGGTCACCACGGTCGGATCATGTATAGAATTATGTAACCTAACAGTAAGATAAATTGTGATGGTGACGGTTATGATAATGATGACGATGACGAGAACGAATCGACGATGACGATGATGATGATAATGATGATGGTGATGATGATGTTGTTGATGATGATGATGATGATGTTGTTGTTGAGGATGACGACGACGATGATGATGATGATGATCGTGACGATGATGACAACGGTGATGGAGGATCGCTAATACCACTCAACGATATACTTACATGCGCTTCTACTAACTTCATTCAGCTTAGTTTATTTCGCCATTTGAGTTGCCATATTTAAAATTCCGCCTAAATTATTCATCGAGCCCTGCTGGCTAAGCAAGACATCTTAGAGGAAACGTTAAACATGTTTTTGCGGTTGCAAGGAATGGTGCATGCTATAGTTCGTAATAAATATTGCATGGATTTAGTTTAGCTAAAGCGCTGAGGTCTGACTAATAGCTGTCAACAAGTAGGATTTCAATCGACAGTGCGCTATTTGTGAAACGAAGGGAGACTGCACGAAAGGTCAATAATTAATGTGCGTATAGTCGTTGCCCTTAGTTAGCTTAGAATCTTTTCCAGGATGTTCGTGGTTGACAGTCTCCAGTGGTACCGACGAGGCCATTTGCATTTAATGAAAATAATAAAACAATAATAACAATAATAATAAAATAATAATGTGCTTGCTTCAGGCTGTGGCGTGAACGTCAGCAACAGCTCTCCAACATGCTGCATCAACGACCTCATTCGCCAGCATAACTCCGTTCGTGGTGGCGCCCTCTGTGAACTGTCGATGGAGCAGGTGATCGCGCGATCGTTCACGCAGCTAGAGCGGCTCGTGCGACGATTCGACGAGGATGCGTCTGCCGTCAAGCAGCTCTACTATGATCGATGGCTTCACAGGTACGTACGGGACGATGGGTAGCTATGAGGCAGCATGGAGGGGAAGCCTGGGTGTACATGGATGATGTAGGGGGCCGCCAAGCGGTACGTACATACGTAAGTACGTACGGCGTGCATGAATGCATCTGTGCATGCGTGTGCGCGAACGTGACATGCATGCAGTGACATTGGCGGACTATTGTTACTAGGGAAAGAAGAGATGGCTGCGCGTATACATATATACATATCTGCTTCTCTCTCCCCGCATATGTCTCGTTACAATGTTGACCACAGCCTGCATCAGGTGAGGGTGGTGGACACTGAACGACAATGTATATGTACACATGCTTATAAACCATCTCACACAC